ATCGCGAATCAAATTACCTTTATCTTTGATCTTCGTCACTTAAAAAGCTTTGATCGTCGTCGTCTCTAAATAAAAGTCGATCTTTGTCTCTAAAAATCCTTCGAGGCGATTCTNTTTGGGAGAGAAAACGAAAGGGATCGCGTTATTGTGAAAGAGGCAAAGTTGTCCAAACGGATAAAATATGTAGCATAATTGTAAAAGACTTTCCAGACGTGGCACGCTTGTAAAAAGTGACCACATTTGTGGCATTTTTGTAATTCAAAAGTTTTAATAAAAAGAAGCATAACATGAACAAAAAACCGATGTGAGAAAATTAAAGAATGATTTTATGACTTTTACGGCTGTTAAACCCAACAAGTATGATCGAAAAAATTTAGAATTTATCTATACAACTCTAAATATTCATCTTTCACATATATACATATGTTTTTTAATTGCTTAGTTATTGTACAAATTTGTGATTGTTGTACCTTTTTAAAATCAATTGACAATATGTATTATAGTGGTTTAAAATGGTCTATAAATTATATAAACTAGCTAGGTTTGGTCTACGTTTCTTTCAAACGTTCGATTTCTAACAGTAATGTTATATATTTATTGCAGTTTGCGGTGGACTTTCCTAACGAATATATGACATCTGTGGAGGGGACATACAACCATATCCATGAGGGTAACTATTTGGTCCTTACGTCGTTGACTTTCAAAACATCGAAAGGGAGAGTCTCTCCAACATTTGGTTTGGTTACTGGTACAACATTCGTGTTGGAGAGCAAAAGTAATGTTATTGTAGGGTTTCATGGACGCGATGGTGGTTCTTTTGATGCAATCGGAATTTACTTCGCTCCGATGAATCCTTCATAAGGTTCCATGGAAAAGCAATATATTCAAAAAGCCTTATCACAAGTTTGATCATTCTCTTGTGTGTTTTACTATTTTATAGTATACTACTTGTCTCCCGTGATGTTAATTTGGTATTGTGTTTCAATTCTAGAAATATGATCATGTAACAAAATTAAGGTTTATCCAATCAAAACTTGAAGATGTAGCTGTTGTATTAGTGACTTGTACCAGTCGTGAAGTACTACAGGTGGTTGTACGAACGGACTGACTAAGCTTAAGGCCTCATGGGCTTGAAGAGTGGGCTGGACCAAGCAAGGATGGACGTGACTTGATGCTCTAGGTGAGCTGGAGGCGTTCCTTGGAGAGTGAAGATGCAGCTGATTGAAGCGATACCTGAAGCAGTTACGAAGTACTTCAGGGGAGCAGTGCAAGCAGATGACGTACTTCAAGGAGCAGTGCAAGCAGATGACGTACTTCAGGGAGCAGTGCAAGCAGATGACATGAAGTCTTGAGCGACGTGGGCTCAAGGAGATGGGCCGGACCAGGTGTGTGAAGCTAGCTTAGAGTCCAAGATGACACAGCTAAGCTAGAGGATATTCTTGGAGAGGATCTAAGAAGATATACTTGGAGAGGATCCAAGCTTGAAGACCTTTCTTATCTTGTGCTAAGAATAAGGAAGGAGAATATACTCACGAAGATTTGAAAAAATCAAGATCTTGCGTGGAGTAGGGACCAAGACTAGGTCTGGTCGTTTACCTATTGTGTATAAATAGGTTAGAGTTAACTTGGGGATAAGTTAACACAATTAGAGCTTATGTCTTAGCAAAAAAAGATTCAAGGTTGTCTAGCAAAAAGGAGATCTTGAATCAAGGGGCTAAGGGTTAAAGAGTGGTTCACAAGATCATGTGTGACTTGTGAACGTGTGAGGCTAGGATTGAAGTGTGAGTGAACTTGTAAGTGCACGAATCATTCGATCTAGTAAAGCGTTTTGAAGAAAAACCCCTTGTGTATTATTTTCGTTTCCTGTACCAGTATCTACAGTAATCTCTGTAGTAGTAGCTATTACATTTTTAT